ATATATATATATATATATATATATATATATATATATATATATATATATATATATTCATTGTATTGGAATATTGACATGAGACAAAGTTTATAGAATATTCATTCAATCATGTAGTTAATAACAATAAATTTGTCTTATCAAACAATGTATTCATGCGCTATAGTATACGACATCCTTTCACTAAATTACCGGTCGGAAAGTGAGAGGATCGAACAAGTACTTATTATTTGTAAAAGTACGAAGAGGTTTCATTTTTTTTCTTTTTGTATATATAAATTTTTCCCTTAAAAAATATCATTTATAACTTTGATGTATATTAGATTTTACATCTCTAGATTTTGGATTTCTTTAGTGTATGAGCCGAATATTTAAATTGATATGATAAATGCACGACAACTTTTAGTAAAAATAAAATATTTTATTAATCTTAATTTTATCCTTTTTATCAATTTATCTATATCCATTTAATACCGATTCTAAATAAAAATTCGACAAACTCCACTCTTCCATTAAAACTTATTACATTTAATGTTGTTGAAAGTCGAATTAAAAAAAAAATCTAAATTTGTAGAATTCAATTAAGGAAAATCATAGAAACTTGATACGTGTTCATATATTTGTTTTGAAATTGAAAAAAGAGGTTTTTTTTACTTATCCTACATGATTTCGTTGCTAGATTTTGTTACATTAAAATACAAATTTTGGTCGAAAATTTTACGTAAGAATATTTATATAAAAAAAAGGGTGCGTCTGCGATAAGTGCAAGGTCTTTATCGTTGCATCTGAGTGAAGTGCAATTTTGTTGTCTATGCGTCTAAGACACACAATTTCAGTGATGGATTATAAGAATTTTCTTTTACAGGGTCAATCTTGTATAGGCCGCTCGATCAATATTAAAATTCTTGCAAATGAGTGAAAACAAAAATCTATTCATCCTATAATTCTATCCTAACAAAAATAGCATTAACCCTTCAACATAGAAAATTCAAATTTTAAAAATTTATTTTTACTATATATTTCGTCAAATAACCGTTTGGTTGTTGATCGGCCATATTTTATTTTTCTTTGTTTTATTTGTTTATTATTTATTGTCGGTTTGGTTATCTAGTTGTCCAGATATTTTTTATGTTATTCAATTGTCCGATTCTTCATATTAAAAGAATCTGAAAAAAATTGTTCGGTCACTTTTTTTATATTATGTTGCCTGGTCGATTATTTAGTTGTTCGGTCAATTTTTTTACTTTTCTACAATCCGGTAAATTTGTTCCTACTCTCCGAATGTCTGATTATTTTTTCTCTCTTTTTTTTTTTTGCTATTTTGTCGCCGGCTCGGCGATTCTACTGCGATGTTAAATTTGTGTTGCTATTCTACTGCCCTGTAAATTTAATTATTTACTTTCTTATTATAGGATCGGTCAACGCCGGTCAACATACGAATAAGGACATGTTATAGTATCGGTGCAACACATAGTAGTCGACAATTAGAAAAAATTGTCATAGCAGATCAATAGCGTAATAAAGACACCATAGTATTGGTCTGATACGTGCTGAAATCCTCAAAATCCCAACCCATAAAAATATCGTGTAACACGGCCTATGGCACAAAGCCCACTAAAGGACAATTTATCCCGATCTCATAGGCCTCTTCCCATGTGGAGCAGATATTTGACGGATCTGACTACGTTTCGGCACGAACTGAGGCGGAAAGCACCTTGACGTGGACCGAAAAAGGGTCCACTTAACATCAAGAGTAGAAGGCGAGCACACACGCAAACCCTCCACATCTATACTGACTCAGACCACTCAAGATAAAGAGCTCGCTTTTAATAGCAATGCAGCTCGGGGAAATCACATCACACCCACATGTGGGTATGACCAAGGTTAGAGGAGGGCCCTACCACCCCAGTCTTGAGTTAGGTATAAATACAACCATAGCACCCAAAGAAAGATATCATGATTAAGTATTTTTACTCTATTCTCTACACATACTATTATTCATTATCCCTGCTGACTTAACTGTCAGAGGGCTAACGTCAGGAGATTTCTCCCCGGTATTCCTTTTTTCAGGTCTTTCAAGGATTCCATGGGCTTGTCCTTGGGCTCCCTTTGTATAAAGCTCATATTGTATCCTCTTCCATATTATCAGCCAAAAGGAAAACATCACGGTCAACAACATTTTAGCCACAATTAAAAAAAAACTTCAAAAACAAAATTCACAAAGTTTATTGGTTAATGGACGATCAACGACAATCAAAAGCTGATTAAGGGTCAACTGGTCAATGTATGAATTTGGAGGTCAAATTTATGATCTAGATGTGTTAAAATGATTGGAGTAATTTTATCATAAAGTTTTTATATCAATAGATGTATCAACTAATGGGTATTTATGTGAAACTGTAAAATTAAAAGGATTTACATATTCTAACTAAAAATAGTTGCAAGAGACATTTAATTTTTAACACATCCACGATTATAATAATAAGTAAGTTTTAATTAAGTAAAGATATAACCACTAAGATCATATAATATTAATATACACTCATCTATGTTTAATTTACAACTTGCAATTCGTTTTGGTATCTCCGACGACGAAAGCCACGTTGTTTAGTACTACTTTCTATTCTCGTCTTAATATGAAGAAAATCATCAATCGAACAAGGTAGGGCAAGAGGTCCAGGTGCATGATAGCCATAGACTTCACGAGCTTTATCAAGAAGTCTTTGAAATAAGGGATTGTACAAGTATGAAATCGGGATCACAAATCTCGTAAATTCGGTACAGGTACAATCTTGATTTTTTTCTTTAATTTTTTCGCCTAATCCAACTTGCACCGCCACCCACCCTTTCTTGACCTTCATCTTCTTCTCCTCTTGCCTCACTTGCATCCTCATTATTATCATGATCACTATATATATGAATGTATAATATATACTTTGGAAAGAAAATGAAGTGTTTGTGGTGTAGAGTTATAGAAGTAGATATGTGTTTCTTAGATGATCGATAGTGAGCATATACATAAAGGGGTGATTTATATATATAGTACTACAGAAGTAGACAGAATATTTTCTTGAAAATGTACGAAAAATAGACCTAATAGATGTTGGATTCTTAACTAAGTATTTTATTATTGTTTAGATGAATTCTAAGGATAAATCTTGGAATTTTTTGAGGTTTTATTTTTTTGTTTTACATGTTCATGTGACAGACAACAATATGGCATATTGCAGAGTATTAATTAGATTACAAACTTGAACAAATTGTCCATTAATTAATTTATAGAATATACATTTTCTTAAGTACAGGAAGTACTTGGATTTGTAGCCAATTAACTTAAATTACAACCACTAAGTGTGATAAAATACTAATTATTTTTGTTTGTTCGAGATTAACAAGAAAAGGAATCTTGATAGTTGAAAGATTCATGTTGTAATATAAAATATGTGTTTTGGGGCTTTTGTGAAAAAATAATATCTTGTGTAACGTTTGGATGGATTCAACTAAAAAATTATTTGGATGAATTTATTATTATATAATATCAATTTTTTGGGATGATATTAACTGGTCTAGAGAAGAACTCCGGAAAATTTAATGTTACCCCAGGTTATTTATATTGGATAGATTTGAACTCATAGATGATAGATCTACACATAATCACACACATTCATGTGTATATATACTTAGTAGAAAGTTATCTAACCAAATCTATGATTCAAATCCATCATGTGTATAGCATTTAATCCCGACGAACTCGTGATGCGCAATATGCTATCAACATGCTATTTTATCTTGTATGTCTCAATATAAAATATATTTTAATTCATTTTTTTTAATTATGATGGATAATATTGACTCGTTTCAAGATCTTGCTAAAACTTACTCTCATTGAAATGAGAACATTCAATGAAAGATGCATCTTTAGAAAAATCTAGATATGCTTAGCACATTTTTTATGTTTGATAAAAAAAATTATGAGAAAAAATACGTTTAATAGGTATTTAATGTTTATGTATAAAAATATGTAACGCAATTAACAAACCCTAATGGTATATTTGTAATTTTTTTAAATTATTGTTTTTTTTCATCTCATATTTTCCAACCTTTTTATTATTGTGTAATTTATTTTTTCAATACAATGTAATTATTATATTGGGCAAATTACGATCACCCTCAAATGTATGGCTAAATTACGAAAAAGACCCTCTTTTACATAAAATTTATGTAATTCGGTTTACCGAACCAAATTGTATATTCAGTTCGGTAAACGGTATGAAATATTGGCGTACCGAAATTTCGGTTCGGTTTTACCGATTTAGCATTCCTAATTTTACCTCTGGAGGGGTTTTTTCGTATAAAAAAACCTAATTGTGTAGTTGTAAATTGTAATTATTCAAAAATTTCGTAATTTGACCATAACTCAGTAGGGTGGCCGTAATTTGCCCTATTATATATTTACAGTTTTCTTCCTTTTTGCAATGCTACCCCGTGAATGTGCATCGCACGGAGAGAATTGTTAGTTATTACTAAAAGTTGCAACTTAGGAGACTTTGTAGTTTGTACTTTGCATTAATTTTCAAGAAATGGAGGGTTGTTTGTTTATTTATAGGTTTAGATTTTTTTTAGGTTCTCTTTATTTTTTTTCCAATTGTATACCTTTAAATCTCTATTAACCATTGAAGTTTGGAATGCAGAATTAATTATATTAGTTTGGCAGAATATAATTATTTAGTAACTATCAACTAATTTATTAGGATTCAGATTAATTGTTAGATTTTAGATTAATTGTTAGATGATAAAAATACTAAATAAAGAAGAAGAAGTATTTAAATATAATTTTCTACATCATAAAATGGAAGATTTACATCCATGGCCTCTAGATTAGAGGCATGTTTATCACTTATAATCAAGTGATGAAAAAGAAGAAGAAAAAAAGAGATATAAAAATATACTCATAACCAAAATAAAGAACCGTGATTATTTGCTGGTGACAACTTTTTCAATAGCGATAAATTTCTGAAGCTTCTTCTAGAAGCTTCTGGAAGAGGGGATTATATAAATACGAGATTTCAACAATCTTGATTTTCATCATTACTAATTTCTGATAATCCCACTTGCACTACTAACCAACCTTTCTTCCACTTCATCTTCGTCCTCTCTTCCATTTTTTTTTCTTTGTCTCTAATTAAGGTTGAAAGAAAATAAATGATTAAAAAAAACACTTGAATTTATGTGAGAAGTGCTGAGCTAATGTTTAGAGTTATGGGGTGATACTATCTTTTCCCAAAGACATATATATATATATATATATATATATATATATATATATATATATATATGATATACCTAAATGGGCCGGCCCAATAGGCCCTCAAATTTATCTACCAATTAGGCCCACTACACGAAGGCCCAATCTCCTTCAAAGTAAGGCTTGGGCCCAACAAAGTAAGCCCAACCCATTCAACGATATATAAATAGATGTTTTGCTCATTTGTTGAGCTACGTTCTAATATTTTCATAATCAATTCCGAGTTTTATTCTCTCGACTATCTCTACGATCCGTACATCTGACTTGAGCGTCGGAGGGGTTTCCGCCGGATCAACCCCCGGCTTAGTTCACGTGTGCTCATTTTGTAGGGACCTCAGGATCATCGAGTTGACTAGCTACTGATCAGCTTTGCTCTCCCAGTTCGTTTTCTATACTACTCCGGTGAGCTATATTTTAGCATCATCATTTTGGCGCCGTCTGTGGGAACGATGCAAACCAGATCACGTAGCCAACAAGATCCTCCTGAGGCATCAGCTCGGAGAGAAAATGACACGGCTAATAACCTCCCAGTCCGTGGAGGATCTGGCATGCCACCTCCTCCACGTGCCGCGGAGCCACTTCCTCCACGTGCTACAGATCCACCTCGCGAGGTTCAGGTGATCCCTCCTCGGGACCCACCACTCGCCGATCCACCACTCCGTGCTCCTCGAACGGTTCAAATAACCGAGGATGCGCTTCAACGCATGATAGCAGAAGCCTCAACTCGCGCCGCCACTGAAGCTGTAACTCAATATATCGCCACGATGGGAGCAAACGCTCCCAATGCGATACCAGCACCAGCTCCACCTATAGCGCCACCTGTGGCCCCACCGCCAATCCAGAATCAAATAAGTGTCTCCTCTTCTACCTCGGACCCACGGTCCCGAGTGCAGCTATCTACTAATCATAGAGGGGCACAGCCCAGACAACAGCGTCGGCGCTCACCCCCACGGGGGAACGCGTCACCAAAAGAGTCCCTCTCTTTAATGAGGGAGAAGGCGAGGTAACCAGTAGAATGTCTCGGCAAAATATTTTCCCCCAACCAAATAATCTAATAGATGAAAGAATGCCTATCCCAACAAGACGCAGTCCTTTCACCATAGACATCCTCAACGAGGTATTACCTCAAGGAGTGAAGATCTCGGGGTTACCTCAATTTGAAGGGACCACCGACCCACATGAGCATATAGAGAAATTCAACGCCATGGCGGACTTATATGGCCCAACGGATGTTGCGATGTGCAAAATGTTCCGCACCACTCTCTCCAAGAGAGCAATGAATTGGTTCAAATCTCTACCCATAGGGTCGATTGACACCTTCGCTCGGTTGTCAACCCGGTTCACCAACCAATTCGCCATCAACAAACAATATGCCAAGACCCCAGCTCATCTTTTCTCTGTAGTACAGAGAGATAACGAAACGCTCCGCAACTACATTAAGCGTTTCGTAGAAGCCGTCCATGAAGTCCCCAGTGTGGGGCAAGACATGCTCTCCGGGATTATGCATCAGAACTTGAAACCGGGTAGATTCAAGGAATCTATTGCCGGAAGACCCCCGGGCAACCTAGAGGAGTTGCTAAATCGAGCCGAAAAGTACGTCCGGATAGAAGAAGCCTCTACCCATGCTCCTCCTAAGAGGAAAAGGGAAGATGACCGTCAAGACAACAGGAGACGTGAGGACCGACGTCCACCACTTCCACCTCAAATCCAACCCTCCTCCTCCTACAATAGGTTCACTCCGTTAAACACTCGCCTCACTGAAATCCTTCACGTGATAGAACAGAAAGGTTTAGCGGAGCCTCCACGTCCTATGCAGCCGAATGCAAAGCGAGAAAAGTCGGATCGTTATTGTCGATTCCATAAGGACAAAGGGCATACTACGGAGGAATGTGCACAACTCAAAGCGGCAATTGAGAGGCTGATCAAACAGGGCCATTTAGGCGAATACATCGATAAGCCACAAAATAAACGCCGTGATGATCCCCCACGCCGAGATAACAATCGAGATCAACAACAAAGACGAGAAGATGGGGGTCATCGACGTGACCTGGATAACAATGATAACCAGCCTACCCGAGGAATCATCTCCTTTATCTCCGGAGGACCGGCGGGGGGCGATTCACAAAATGCAAGACGCACCCTCGCTCGGTCAGCGCGCATGAATCAAGAAAGCGCTTCTCCATCCGCACGCATATATCAAATAAGAAGACCTGATCACAGCATAGTCTTCAACTCCTCCGACCTCGAAGGTCCAGATGAAGACCATGTCGATGCATTGGTAGTAACAACAACGGTGGCCAACTTCTTGGTCAAGAAGATATTAGTGGACGGTGGAAGCTCAGCCGACATCATGTACCTCCACACTTTTAAGCAGCTGGGCATAGATAATGCCCGGTTTAATCCCGTCTCCACACCCCTGAAAGGATTTACAGGAGAAGGCATTTTATCCATGGGAGAATTAGAGCTGCCCGTCTCTTTAGGGGAAGACCCTTGTCGAATCACCAAGCTAATCAAATTCCTCATCGTCGACAAGCCATCTCCCTACAACGTCATCTTAGGGAGGCCAGCCATCCATACATTCAAGTCTGTACCTTCCTCCTACCATCAGAAGTGGAAATTCCCTACTCCCTATGGAATGGGGGAAATACTTGGAGACAGACGTCTCGCCTGAGAGTGCTATGCAAGGGCCCTACGAGAACCCTCTAAGAAGCCTAAACCACCCGGAAGGGGAGACGACACCCGAAAATCCGACAAACGGAAGTGGGTCAATGCGATCCTTGAGGACAATAAAGAAATCCTCATCAGTGTACCAGACGATAGCATCAAGCTAGCAGCTGTCGAAGAGCTTAAGCTCATAGAGCTCACCCCTGGAGATGGCTCCAAACTCCTACGCATCGGATCCGATTTAGATCCTGAGATGGAGAAGCAATTAGTCAAATTCTTGCGGCACAATGGAGATGTGTTCGCTTGGAAAGCTCAAGATTCGCCAGGCATCCCCCCCCCCCCCATGTAGCTCTACATCGGCTTAACGTCGACAAAAGGTTGAAGCCGATCAAACAAAGAAAACGAACATTTGGACCCGAACGCAACAAGCACATCAAAGCAGAAGTGGCGAAACTTCTAGAGGCGGGTCATATACGACCAGTTCAGTATCCTGAATGGTTGTCGAACGTAGTACTCGTTCCCAAACCCGGGGGAAAGTGGAGGTTATGCGTGGATTTCACTGACCTCAACAAAGCTTGTCCTAAGGACCCATTTCCCTTACCTAGAATCGACCAACTCATCGATTCAACTTCGGGATGTGAGCTCGTCAGCTTCCTTGACGCTTATCAAGGGTATAACCAAATCTTGCTCGCACCAGAAGATCAAGAGAGGGCTAGCTTCGTCACAGACCAAGGCATCTACTGCTATCGAGTCATGCCTTTCGGATTAAAAAATGCGGGAGCCACTTACCAACGTCTAGTGAACGCCATGTTCGCAGATCAGGTCGGTAAGAATATGGAGGTGTATATCGACGACATGCTCGTCAAAAGTGTCAAGGTCTCGGACCACCTAACTGATCTGGATCAGTGCTTCGCTACCCTGCGAAAATACAAAATGAAACTCAACCCCCTCAAATGCTCGTTCGGAGTTCGAGGTGGCAAATTTTTGGGTTACATGATTTCACAGCGGGGAATTGATACGCGTTTTCCTCACGTATAAATTACCGCAAGTATACGGTATCGCATTTTGCAGAACAGTGGTTCGGATATCGATCCACAGGGACGTTGTAGATTCAAATGCTGAGTAGTGTAATTATATTATCGTTATATTATCTAGCCGATCGTAAATAAGTGGATTGGTGATAAACCCTAATTTAAAAGCATGCAAGATCGTAAACATGCAAATATGGAATGTACGTAAATAAAGCACGACAACTCAACGCGGGGGGACTTCGATTTAAAGGGGACTTCTATGGCCAAATCCACCTATATATAATCAACAACGATCTACAACTCCGTTATCTAACGCCACATTCCTATTCGTTAACCCAGACGCTAAAGTACTCTAACCCCCGTCTCCAGTGTAGTTAGAGTCTACCCACAGGTCCGACGTCTCCGTTCAGAACCTGCTATTAAGAGAGCATTTAGGCCAAGTCCTTAAGGGCTACCCGAAGTGCATCACGTCTCCGTTTCCACACCCCGAGCTATGTTTTCCTAACTTCAAACGAGAAATCCTCTCTCGAGTTCATTCCTATTTAATATCAATCTGAGAGCTGATCAACACAATCAGAAGCATTTAATACACGAAAACATAAACGAAATCAAAACACGACAAATAGATAACAGAAATGACGATCGAAATCAATATATACAAGGCTTCATTGCCCTAGAAGAAAATGTTCAGTTCATTACAAACATAGCATCCAAATGAAGAACACGAGAAATCATAAACTAAACGTAAAGAAAAATCTTATGAAAAACCCGAGTCGAAACCCTCGTCGAAGCTTCCCGCGAAGAACTGGCGAGAACCGAAGAGAAAACCGAATAAGAAGTCGAAGAGTGAAGTCGAAGAAGAAGTCCTTCCTTGTTAAATGACACAAGGGATCTATTTATAGTATGCTTTGCCTTTTAAGATATTTTTTACGCATCCCAAGGCCCATATTGCGATATGAGCGGCAATATCGGACGATATGGTAAAATTGCAAGCTCTCTGTTTCGTTTCTCCCCATATCGCGATATGGAATGGCATATCGCGCGATATGGCAAAAATGCAAGCTCTCTGTTTCGTTTTC